AAACAGGGATGTGCACACAGGTGACTTGTCAAAAGGAACAATGATGCCTATTTCCTTGGAAAAAATCCTAGATTCCAGCTGCAGTCCGAGCAACATCTAAGTCCTGACCACGTCCACATCAGAGCCCTCGATAGAAATGGGCCACAGGTGGGGTCTCTTCTTTCTGATGTCCCCCACCATTCCATTAGTCTTGGAGGTGTTCAACTTGCAGATGGTTAGACCTGCACCATCTCACAAAAAAATCATGGCTGATGAAGTAGCTTCTGATATTGACCATAAATGTTATTTGTCTCCCTTTTCCCATTAAGAAGTAGGTAATTTTTGGCCCACAAATATCTTTGAACATCTTTAATATTACGACCAATCGTATTCTACAGTTTATACATGTGAAAACGGAGCCGTTTTCCCCTTCTGTTCCCAAGGTGTAGCGACAGGAGTCTCGCACACATAGACATATATACGTAGACGCCGCGTTGAGCCTGTTGGTCCGTTGCAGCGATACGTCAACGAATCCGTCATCTTGGTTGGCAGAACTGCCTGTAAACTAATAAAAGAAAACGGACTGAACTCCATAAATTGCCTTTCGACAAAGTGCTTTAAGTTAATGCACCTTATTCACCCATTCACACACAAACACTGGGAAACAAATAGGCACAAAAAAAAAAAACGTCTGTAACTTTTAAAGTGATGATTATACATTTTTACTCCTGATGTTTAGGATATAAGGAATCACTAAACCAGCGTCTGTACTTTTGATGCTGAGTGTTTTGATTTCCTAAAAGGAGGACAATTTTCCCAGCTTCAAGACAGATTCAGACAGGCTTCTCAGATGTTAATGAACATGCGTTATTATACCTCAATGGTACAAAAATAACTTTGGTAGCAAAACACAATCTGTAACAACCAGTAACAACCAGTAACAAAATTACATAAAATACATTGAAATACATCAATAAAATCAAATGTTCTAAATATGACCTCTTCTGTATTAGAAAATACAGATGTGCATCCTCTGTTTTCCCAGGTCTAACAAAGTACTCAGTCAACTTTGCAGAAGAACTTTCACCTCGCACAGCTTTTAAAAAAAGTTTTTCAGTGTCCATGTAAGCTTTGAGATATCCAGCACCTTTATTAGACACTGTGCCATGTGCCAGCTTTGCCCATGGTGCACTCAGCTTCTCACTTGTCGCGACGGTATGTGGGAATTTTCTTTTGCAGTTCGTCTGTGAAGCTTCACCTTGTTTTGGCATTTTGTCTCCAAGGCTGGTTGCTCTGCTCCCTGAGTGTGTGTGGGTGTCTTGCTGGACCCCCCCACCGGGCAGCCCCTCGAGAATTATGTTGGGCAACAAAGTACCGTGGTATTCTGTGAAAAGCGGCGGTCGACTTAAGCAGACAATTATGGTCCCATGAAAAACACTGAAAACCAGGCATTTTCATAAATTTATAATCCCCCTTTTACACCCTAGACAGGATGTAAAAAGTGGACATGTCTGGGCAAAAGAGGACGTTTGGTCACCCTATGCTTGGGAATCCCTATGCCTTAATCACTGCCTCGATGCAATGATGCAGCAAAACATCTACATAGAAACTTGTCTTATGTTCAACATTTTTGGATTTGATATAGCCTTTAATATCTCTGCATTGTCTGACAGCAACTGTTAGGGCCCTAACATGCATTTGGTGAACTATACAAAATTCTCGTCCAGTTTTTAAAGGATGATGTGGCATTCTATTCTAAAGCAAACATACTAATTTCTAAAAGTACAGTGTTCTGCACTCATGAGCTGATCATAAAGTGAATTTTGCAGCGCCCAAGTAAAACTCAAAGAGTTCGATCCAAAACAGGCTCTGCCTGCTCCAGCTGCTGCTGTCATAACATTTCAACTATATTTTACTTTAAACCAATGTTAATCTTTGTGCACATTTATTGTTGCCACCTCAGACCACTTCCACACAACTGTACTCGATCCCAGCGCTGGTGCTTCAGAACTTAACCTGTCAGTTCTCTCTTCCAAACCCTTGGAGGCCGCTATCCGTCCATGCTGGCCAAAGCACTGCAAGGTTCCACTCCAGAGAAACCAGTCGTGGGATCCAGTTTGTTGATGCCAAAATGTTGTTGAAATTGTATTCTACAGCAAAAGTCTGAGTCCATTTTAAGGAAGTAAGAAATTGAAATGTATTCAAAAGGAAAACTTCATGAAGTGAGAGCAACCAGCACGATCATACACGTGGTTCATATGATGTACCAAGCTGCTCTAAAGTAAAACAACATCATAGTGCATTTTATACCCCTCTCTGAGTCTGAAATGAGAAGTCAAGTCTTTCCTCCATCCTGCACATGTATTAAACAATCCTTAAGACAAAGCATTAAGAGATAAAGTATAAGGAGACCTTCTCTGAGACCTTGAAAGAGTAAAGAGCCCCATGAGAAAGAACAAGAACCTTTAAAATATTGACTTGTGGAAAGTTACCAGGGAGTTAGAAGTGAAAGAAACTGATTATACATATATTGATCTCCCCCACAATCGAGCTAAACCCAAATTAGTATAATATTGCAAACAGGGATTCTCATTGAACACAATCAAATGCTTTTGCCTCATCTATGAAACAATTGTGGTTTCAAGGTTGTTGATTGTAGAGTAGTATATGAGATGAATTACCCTGCATGGATTATGAAGGCCATTTGATTAGGATATCTTGTGATGTGTCACTTTTTCCAGTTTTATGGCAAGGGTTTTATGAGATTATTTTCTACTTTTATAAAAGATATAGGGCAATAGCTGGATGGCTGTATAGAGTCTTTTCCTGGTTTCTGAAGCAAAAATAATAGTAGCAATGTTAATGTTTTTGAAGAAGGAGGAGAATCTAACACCTTACTTGACCTGTTCCAGGTCATCACTGTTAACATATGGTGGATCACTGCCTGATGAACATAACTCTGTAGAAATTCATAAAAATATCAGCACATGGGTAACAGATTATAATGGATCTTTAACAGAAATGCTGTTTTCTTTTAATTTATTTTTTAACAGGTTAGCAACAAATCTTTTCCGTATTTGTATGATATTGCAAACAGAGTTTACTCCAAAGAAAATTAGTTTTATATTTTCTTCCCTCTAACCTCATAGTGAACTTTGATAAAATGTCATCATTGTCTCAGTACCTACAGCTGCATTCTCTGAGTCTTTAGACCTGTTGCACTGACATTCTTTCTGATTATGAAATCATTTGACAAAATAGTTCAGGAGTCTCTTCTGAACTGTATACAGGATTATCTGGACCCACTGCAGTTTGCTTACAGCTCAGAGATTGGTGAGGATGCAGTCAGCAATCCCTTGAATTTAGTTTTAACCCACCTGAGGGAGCCGTGCCCTTTTTTAACTTTTATTTATTGTTTTTTATCTGCTTTTAACTGCATTCAGCTGCATATTAAAGCAGGAAGTTTGAGGGATTCTCAAAGCATTGAACCTGGACTTGTAGCCTTGCTGACTTAGTTTTTAACAGAGCGACCACAACATTTGAGATTAAATTGTGCTGTCAGACACTGTCATCTCTAACACTGGATCACCCCAAGACTGTGTTACTTTACTCCCAATATTTGTTTTATATCAGAATCAGAATCAGCTTTATTTGCCAAGTATGTGTGACCATCCAAGGAATTTCACTCCGGATGTTTCTCTCTTCAGTGTAGTTACATACAAAATACAAACATACAAATATGCAAAGCCAATACATTGGTCGTGACATTCTGAAAGTTGCAGTGGACTCAGTTACCGTATCCTTGCTAAGCAGTGACGACCTTTATCTTCCATAGGGAAGGAATCCATTGAGAATTCTGAATCTTACTTTTTAACCATCAATACAAAAAAAAAATTCTGCAGTTCTTCAAGCTGTGGAGATAGCACTCAGCTCTTACTTGGACAACAAGCTTTCCTTTAAGTTTCACGTTGATGCTGTATGTAAGAAAGCTTATCAGCGCTTGTATTTTCATCATAAGCTTCATAGTTTAAACGTTAACAGTACTTTTTTTTCTCTTAAAAAATAAACTGACTGCAGGGGGAAATAAAAATTGCCCAAAAATTAATCTAAACGATCTCTGTGCCCTGTAATCAAACAAGAGTACTGTGCGAGACCCGTTCAATCCTGATGTGAAGGCATCTCGGAAAATGGGTCCAGGGTTGATATATAGCAGGTGGTTGTCATGCTTGTCGTAATTTAGTCTTTATTGTTTCTCAGCTCCCCCTTGGGTATGGCCCTGGCCCTATTTAAGCCTTCTGGTTTCTTCCCTTCCTTGCTATTTTGTCACGACTTCTGTCTGCATCCCCGTATTACAGTCTATGCTGTTGTTCAATAGTGTTTTGACATTAGCCTAGTATCTGGATTATCCCTTCTAGATTTCAGTCCAGTGTATACATCTATCTCATGTAAATAAATTTAGTTTGTATATTGGATTCCTCTCTGAGTCCTTGTCAGTGGTGTGGAGAACAAAAAATGCCACAATAGGTTTTCTGCAGAGAAAGGAATAGATTAAAATTTCTGAGATTTTTTAGACCAAATATTTCACTGTACCCCTTAGTTTTGGATATTTTTTTCTTCTACATAATGTGTGGAAATAACTGAGCATAGTCCATTATACCAAAATTGTTCTGCAATGTATATCATTGTACATCACCTAAGATTTGACATTTACCATCATGTCAGTGTTTGTATGTGACAAGCAAATGGGAATTTAAAATGAGCCCATGTTTTCCTATACTGTGGCTTTGATAGACTGTATGTGTTTCAGTTGTATCTGATCATGTTAAGAAAATAAGCATTTTGAAATAAGTTAACAGATTTGAAACTACAGAATAACATTTCATGAATTGTATGAAAATTCACTGGACACTTTTAATTTACTAAATCTCTTAGCAGATTAAAGTGGAGACAGTGCAAATGCCAGACACAAGAATAAAAAAATAATTTAATACATGTATACTGTCCTTACTTTTCTGCTACAGATCAAACAATTTCTACCTGGCTATGCTGCTTTTCATGTTGTTTCTGTGTATGCTCCCCACCATCTTTGCCATAGTGAGGTACAAACCATCTCAGCACTGTGGACCATTCAGGTAACTATATCCTTAAACAGCATAATACTGTAATTGACACTGACCTAATGTTTTCTTTTGAATTTCTATTTTTGTAAATACATTTATTTGAATAGACAAAGGAAATTATTGTACAAGTTGTGTAAAACAAAGTAGGATATTCATGATGATAAGCAAAAGAAATTAGTTGGTACTTCCTCAAATATAAACCCAAGGTGGGCTATAGGTGCAAAAGAAATCTGAGATGTTTGAAATCTAAAGGAAAATATGTGAGCATTTAGTAATGATGCTGGCTGTCCTGGATTTTAATATGACCAGTTGATACATCAGATTTCCCTGCATCATGGGAAAACAGCAGATTAAAAGGCACTTTGCAGCAATGTCTGGTTTTCCCAATAGAATCAGTGCAATTATATCTAAAAACATCTAACAACAGTTGACAGTCACAGCACTTCTTTTTATATATCACACCACTACTGCGGTTACCAAAAAAAAAAGTTTTTTTTAAAAATCTCTTTGCCTCTCTTACCAACACATGAATTTTTGCCTTTGTGAAATTGCTGTAATATTAACCTTGAAATACGATTGATCAACCGGCTTATTTAGATTCAGATTGAAATTTATGAGGTGCTTTGCAATGAACATTTATGGTTGAATGTGTGTAGAGAGGGCAGAAAATGAGGTGGAACCTTGCACGCAAACAGTGAAGTGCAGCTGTAATTGTAAAAGGGAAATTGTTGCTGGTATGCGTGTGCATGGTTTTATAAATCTTGACATTTTAATGCGTACACCATTTTTTACTTTTAGGCATATATACATTTTTAGTGTAGATCACAGGCAATATTTTATAAATGAGACCCCGGACTTTATGCATGTTAGGATTGTGGGTGGCCTAAATAACTGATTAGTTCTATCCACTTTCATAGACATGTAATGCTGACTTTAACTGCCGTTGCTATAAAAATTTCTGCCATGCTATCTAATAATGTTACCAAATGGAACTGGTATAAAGTAAAAAAGCACAGGTTCCTGGAGAACGTTAAGAACATTCTTCATTTACATGACAGCCTAGAAACCATTGGGTAAACATGACACATCAGGGCAGTATGTGTGGTGGTTAGCACCGTCGCCTCTCACCAAGAGTGTTCCCGGGGGACTTTACACCAGGAACATTCTGTGTGGAGTTTGTAAGTTTCCCCATGTCTGTGTGGGTTTTCTACGAGTACTCTGGCTTCCTCCCACCATCCCAAAACATGCATGTTAGGTTCATTGGACACATGTGAGTGTGTGGTTGATTGACTCTGTTTGAATAACCTATTACTATCAAATACAGACACGATGAACTCATGACAGTCAGTGAAAAATGTAACCACCACCATTTAATACAGTATACTATATTAACTTTGTAGTTAGCATTGAGGTTATAAAAGACAGATATTCCTTCAATCATCATGACTCAGAGAACATGACCATGCAAAGATCGTGTTAACAATATTCATAATCGCCAACTATTGCTGTTTGAAAATCTGCTTTTTTTCCTATCCATCCATCCATTATCAATACCGCTTATTCCCTCATGGGGTCGCGGGGGAACTGGAGCCTATCCCAGTGGTCAACGGGCGAGAGGCAGGGTACACCCTGGACAGTCCGCCAGTCCATCGCAGGGCCACACACAGGACATACAAGGACAAACAACCACTCACACTCACATTCACTCCTAAGGGCAATTTCCCCAATCTCCAATCAACCTAACATGCAGGTATTTGGACTGTGGGAGGAAGCCGGAGAACCCGGAGAGAACCCACGCAGACACAGGGAGAACATGCAAACTCCACCCAGAAAGGTCCTGGTTCCCCCGGGATTCGAACCCAGAACCCTCTTGCTGGGAGGCGACAGTGCTAACTAAGCTTTGAAACATTTGAATTAAGATAAGTGAGAAAAATAGAGAGACTTCAGCAAAATTACAAAAAACACCATACACAGGTGTAGATGTGTTTGAATCAGGAAAATTCAAATTCCACCCCTTGACAGCTGCTGTCCTGCAAGTTTTGGATATTTCCCTCCCTAATACACGTGATTCAAATCACTGCACCTCTGGTAGAATGTAAAGAACATAACAATTCATGAAGACACTGATTTAATCAACGGGTGTGTTGAAGCAGGGGACCATGTAAAACCAGCTGGATGGTGGTTTGCCATTACTGCTTCAAATTGTGGCACGGTGGTGTGGTGGTTAGCACCATCGCCTCACAGCAAGAGGGTTCTGGGTGCGAGTCCCCAGGGGAATTAGGACCTTTCTGTGTGAAATTTGCATGTTCTCCCTGTGTCTGCGTGGGTTTTCTCTGGCTTCCTCCCACTGTCCAGAAACCTGCATGTTAAGTTGATTTGACATTCCAAATTGCCCTTAGGAGTGAGAGTGAGTGTGGGTGTTTGTTTATCCTTGTGTCTATATGTGTGGCCCTGCCTCTCCCCCATTGACTACTGGGATAGGCTCAAATTGTTTGCAAATGTTAATTTTAATGAAACATCTATTATGTGGATTTCAGTGGTCAAGAGAAGATATATGATATCATCTCAGACACAGTGGCCAGTGACTTCCCCCTGTGGTTCGGAAAAGTGATGAGCTATGTTACCAGCCCTGTTGTGGTGTTGCCAGCACTACTGTTATTATTGTAAGGCTCCACACTTCTCACATGCAGTCAATGAATACATGAAATGGACACGTCTCATCACCATTTTGACCTGTGATTTGGCCATGTGTGTTTCAGTATGCTGCTATACTATCTCCAGGCAATTGCCAGATCTCTCAAATTTACCAACAACCAACTGAGGATGCAACTCCAGACTGTGAGTTTCAGTAGAATCACTCATTTTGTCACATCTAAACATCTAGTGAAATATTAACGCATTTTAGTTCATTTGCATTTGGAGCTCTTGCGTTCAAGTTTGCATGAATGATATGTACATATGCTACAAGTATTCCTACAAATTCTCAAAACTGCAATGGACTGATATTTTCACAATATTTTTATTGGAAACCTGAGATTGAATAAAAAAAGTCTGTCAGTTTTTGCTTACACAGATTTCCCTGACATGTGGTATGAAATGTATGTATGCGTTTTCCTTGAAGATTTGTACTAATACAACAAAGACTAAGGAGGAACTTGTAAATACAACCAGGGTGGTTATTTGAGTTCAGTGTCAGTGAAAAAGTACGACTTTAAAGAAGACAAGCCAATGGAAAAGAAAGATTGTTCGCCGATCACCTGCACCTGATCGGCCAGCCGAGGTAAAGAACAAGCTTAAAGTATACAAAAGGACGAAAAAAGGAGGAAAGAAATATGCCTCCAAACCCCTTACCAAGTTAAGGGGAATATTCACTGGGACAATGGACCACACCTGTTAAAGAATGCATTTGAAGGAAGAAAGGGATACCCCATGGAAATGCTGTGCCCTTCTGGTTCAGAGGAACTGTAATTAAGCCATTGCAAACACTAAATTTGACAGCACCTACTCCAAATGCATTTTTTAGAAGCTCTGCTAATTTCAGCAACATAAAGTCCTGCTCAACATTATTGGCACCCCTTCATGTTTTGCATAGCTGAGTGAATATCTTCAGAAATAAATGGAAATGTTCAAAACTTAAATCAGCAGTATCTTTCAATTTGAGGTCCAAAGTAATTTAACAAAGACAATTGCCATTTCAACATAAATATTTTAATTGCAAAGGACAAAACAGAAAACCAGCATGTGCACTAATATTGACACCCCTCCTTAATATTTGGTTGCACAGCCTTTGGCAGCAATGACAGCCTCCAAACGTTTCTTATATTCATCTATAAGCTTCTTGCACTTCTCGGGTGGCATTTTCTCCCACACTTCTTTTGCAATATGCTCAAGCTCTTGTACATTTGCAGGGTTCCTTTCTCCAATGGCAGATTTCAGCACCCTCCCAAGATTCTCAATTGGATTGAGATCTGGACTCATTGCTGGCCATTTTAAAACAGTCCATTTTTTCCATTTCAACCATGCCTGCGTGTTTTTGGAGGTGTGCTTTGGGTCATTATCTTGCTGGAGGACCCAGGATCTTCGCCTCAAACCAAGTTTTCTTACGCTGGGCAAGACATTTCGCTCTAGAATTGCTTGATAATCTTCTGATTTCATGATACCTGTGATACGGTCAAGCCCTCCAGTACCAGATGCCGCAAAGCAGCCCCACAGCATTATGGATCCTCCACCATGCTTGACTGTTGGTATGGTGTTCTTTTCTTTAAAGGCTTCATTGCGCCGTCTGTAAACATATTGTTTGTGTGAATTACCGAAAAGCTCCACTTTTGTTTCATCTGTCCATAAAACGTTGTCCCAGAAGGTTTGAGGTTTGTCCAGGTTCTCTTTTGCGAAGATCAAGCGTTCTTTTTTATGTCTTTTCTTCAGCAATGGGGTCTTCCTTGGCCTCCGCCCATAAAGCCCCACTTTGTTTAGTGTGCGCCGTATAGTACTTGTTGAAACAATCACACCAGACTGCTCCAAGTTGGTCTTTAGGTCTTTAGATGTTTGACGTGGTGTTTTTTCCACCATTCGCACCAACCGTCAAAGACTTCTGTCATCAATTTTTCTCTTCCCCCCACGTCCAGGGAGGTTCCTGACCGTTCCATGCCTGGAAAACTTCTTAATAACATTACGCACTAGGGATGGGAATCTTCACCACCAAGGCGATACGATACACATCTCGATACACAGCCAACGATTCGATACATTCACGATTCATGGAATTTCTAGTGATAAGATTCAATACGATTCTCCAACCTCCTGCGATCCGGTGCGATACAGAACGATCTGAATTTAAAATGCTGCGATACAGTGCGATACGATACGATACAATACGATGCGATGCAATGCAGAAGAAAAGTACACCATGGACTACATAGTTCAAGTTATGGCACGCAAGCTAACTGTGCCTTTTATTTTGAAACAAAGCAACTTAGAGAGTGATTGTCTCTCTGAAACTTTACAAGTGTAAACTTCAAACAAAAATAAGATTTCTCTGTAGTACATGTTGTCCAACAATTAAAGCCAAGGCACAAAGGCACATTTTCCAGTTAAGCCTTTAAAAAAGTGCTTGAAGTTTATACATGAGGTAAAACAAATAAAATGCCCTTATACAAAAGGTGCAGGCCAGGATATTCCATCTATTATAAAAACTAAAAGAAAAACTTAACACAGGGACACATCGCATTTTCCCCCAAATATACAATGCAGTGTTTACATATGGCCATTGTCTTGTCCAACTCTCCATCTCGTTTGTAGAAGCCAAAGTCTTTCCATACCGTTGACCTAAAGCGCGTAACCGAATGTATTATCTCTGTTTCGTTTTCCTCCATGCTAATGTGGTTTCTAGCTTGCCGCCTCTGTCCTCTTCGAAAGCAAGTTTAGACCCTCTTACTCGCGCGAGGCTTGGGGCGAGACTTGAGTGGCAGAGAGACTAGCATGCACGCAGTAGGCAGGCAACAGGGATGGAAAGAAACGCAACTAAAACTCAAAGACACGTTTCTAAAAAGTTATAATAATAGAAGATAATAATCGGTTTGTATCGATGCAGGTAGTTTTATACGATGCATCTCGAGTTTATGTGCGGTTTTTACCGATGCAGACGTTTGCAAATCGATGCAACCGTATCGCACAGGTCGTTCCGATGTTCCGATACGCATCGGTGAATCTTGCCATGCCTATTACGCACCGTTGAAACAGGGATACCGAGGTCTTTGGAGATGGCTTTATACCCTTTGGAGGTCTTGTGCTTACAAATAATAGCATTTCTGGTGTCCTCAGTCAGCTCCTTCGTCTTTACCATTGTCACATGTGAAGATGGACTAACAGGTGGCTTTTAAAGTACCAACATGATCATTCATTGGTTAATTCATGTCACATGTGTGGACGCAGTTCATCGCAAGTGATCTTTATTTGTGATTTGCAACAGGTGAGCCGAATTGGGTTTTCATACTGATTTGCTGCAAAGGGTGCCAATACCATTGACATGGTAAACATTATGTTTTTCTTTGTTTTCCTCATAATGTTTATCTTTTTAAATGTTTTTTATCATCTGCTGTTTTGCATTGAGCACAAGCTATCAGCAGTAAAATGTTGTTTCACTTGATGAATTTCCTTCTGAAAATATTCCACTATATGTACTTAAACTTCATGGGTGCCAATAATGGTGAGCAGGACTGTATAAAGATGCCTGTACCTTCGCCTTCCCAATAGGTGCTGCATTTATTTTTGGGAAGGTTAAAGTTATGGATGTTTCATTTTTATAAGTTGTTATATGATTTCAGTTACGTATTCAACAATGATATATACACCATCATTTTTGTCTTTACCCGTCTGTTCTTTAGTACTTGAATTTTCACCCCAACGTCATAAATACACACTGTAATGATGAGGACTAAGAGAGAAATTACTGTCATGCTCTAAGGAGAAGGAACTTTGCCTCTGGCTGAAAATGATCCCCTATTTAGGGCAGAACTATTCCTCCTACGATGTGGAAAATGATATCATGGGTTAACAGAGAAGAATAATGCCAAGAGGGATGAATGTAATTTTGCTTGTATATTTATTCTCAATGTTCTTTCTGTTCTCACTGTATTCAAACTGTCAGAAGGTAAATGGTAAATGGTTACAGGCATGACTAACAGTGATTTCAGAGCTGCTTCATGGAACATTATGGTCCGAACAATCCTGTTGAGATAGGCAGGAGTAATGTCTAAAATAAGGCTCTCAATGGATAAATCAGAATCAGAATCAGAATCAGAATCAGAAATACTTTATTAATCCCAGAGGGAAATTATTTTTGTTACAGGCTCCATAAGCAAAACAAAGGCATATACATATATACATGTCTATACATATATACATATACATATACAGTATATATACAAAATTCCTCATAAATATAGCTAGATATATACATAAAAAACAATATGTATATATGTAGGTCAAAATGAGAGGTGGATAGTGTCAATGATTAAGTTAGACTCTCAGAGGGAGGCGTTGTACAGATTGATGACCACCGGCAAGAAGGATTTCCGGTGGCGCTCTGTGGTGCATCTGGGTGAGAGGAGTCTTCTGCTGAAGGAGCTCCTCTGTTGGGCCAGTGTGTCGTAGAGGGGGTGTGACTCATTGTCCAAGATGGACTTAAGCCTGGACAGCATCCTCCTCTCTGCCACGGTCGTCAGAGTATCCAGCTCCTCCCTTACAACATCACCCGCCTTCCTGATCAGTTTGTTTAGTCTGTTGCTATCAGCAATCCTCAGCCCACTGCCCCAGCATGTGACAGCAAAGAAGATCGCACTTGCCACAACAGACTCATAGAACATCCTCAGCATCATCTGACAGATGTTAAAAGACCTCAGCCTCCTCAGGAAGAAGAGTCGGCTTTGGCCCTTTTTGTAGACTGCCTCAGTGTTTCTTGTCCAGTCCAGTTTATTATTTAAGTACACCCCGAGGTACTTGTATTCCTCCACAGTGTCCAAAGGGACCCCCTGGATGGAAACAGGGGTCATAGGTGTTTTGGCCCTCCTCAGATCCACTATCAGCTCCTTTGTCTTTGTCACATTGAGCTGCAGATGGTTAAGTTTACTCCAAGTGACAAAGTTGCCCACCACAGTCCTACATTCACATTCATCTCCCCTTTCAATGCAGCCGACTATTGCTGAGTCATCAGAAAATTTCTGACGGTGGCAGGACGCAATGGCTGAAGTCTGAGGTGAAGACGGTGAAGAGGAATGGAGAGAGGACAGTCCCCTGAGGGGCCCCGGTGTTGCTGATCACCCTGTCAGACACACAGTTCTGTAGGCGTACATACTGTGGTCTGCCTGACAGATAGTCAACAATCCAGGACACGATGGGGGCATCCACCTGCATCGCCGTCATCTTTTCACCCAGTAGAGCCGGACGGGTGGTGTTGAAAGCACTGGAGAAATCAAAGAACTTGATCCTCACAGTGCTCACCGACTTGTCCAGATGAGTGTAGAATCTGTTCAGCAGGTGGGGCTGGTAGGCGAACTGTAGTGGATCCATGAAGGGCCTGACCATAGGCCTTAGCTGTTCCAGAACTAGCCTCTCGAAGGTCTTCATGATGTGGGACGTCAGTGCCACCGGCCTGTAGTCCTGAGGGCCGTTAAGACGCGGCGTCTTAGGCACAGGAACGAGGCAGGACGTCTTCCACAGCACGGGGACTCTCTGGAGGTGCAGGCTCAGGCTGAAGACCAGACTAAGGACTCCACACAGCTGGGCGGCACAAGCTTTAAGCACCCCAGGAAATACACCATTGGGGCCTGCAGCTTTGCTGGTGTGGAGTCTGGTCAGTTGTCTTCGAACCAGGTCAGGTGTGAGGGACACTGAAGAGGTGACAGTTGTGGGAGGGGCGAGGTCCTCAGGTTGTGGAGGACACGATGCAGAGCACGATGGGAGGGGTGGAGTAGGTGGGTGTGAAATGAGGTGGTAAGGAGAAGTCTGAAAAGAGTGAAAAGAGAGTGGGGGAAGGTGGAGTGGTCATCATTGGGAAACCATCAGCAGAGGCTTGTGGGGGATGGGCCTCAAACCTATTGAAAAATAGGTTCAATTCGTTGGCTCGTTCCACTCGGCCATCCAACCCCATGTTGCCGGTCTTCTGGAACCCGGTGATGTTTCTCATGCCACTCCACACCTCCCTCATGTTGTTTTGCTGGAGTTTATTCTCCAGCTTTCTCCTGTACTTGTTCTTGGCCTCCTTAATTTTCAGTTTGAGGACCCTCTGCACTCTCCTCACCTCGTCACGGTTGCCATCTCTGAAAGCCCTCTTCTTTTCATTAAGGATGGCCTTGATGTCCTTAGTGATCCATGGCTTGTTGTTGGCATAGCCGGTGACGGTCCGAGCTGGGACATTGCAGTCAACACAGAAGTTGATGTAGTCCGTGACGCACTCTGTGAGCCGATCGATATCCTCCCCATGGGGCTCACAAAGTGCAGTCCAGTCTGTCAACTCAAAGCAGGCCTGCAGTGTCTCATAAGGCTCCTCCGACCACTTCCTCACAGTCCTTGTGGTCGTAGGCACCCTTTTCACAAGAGGCACATAGCAGGGTGTGAGGTGGACCAGGTTGTGATCTGACCTGCCCAGAGGGGGGAGAGAAGAGGAGATGTATGCGTCCTTAATGTTAGCATACACCAGATCCAGGGTCCTCTCCTCTCTGGTTGGACAGCTCACATATTGCTTGAAGGTCGGGAGAACTCTGTTTATGGTGACATGGTTGAAGTCTCCCGACATGATGATGAGGGCATTGGGGTGTTGAGTCTGTAGTTTGGAGATGGAGGTGTGTATGATGCTGCAGGCAGATGTTGGGTTTGCAGAGGGAGGGATGTACAGGACAGCAATGATGACGTGAGGGATCTCTCTGGGCAGATGGTATGGACGGAGTCCAACGGCAAGCAGTTCCACATCCGGGCTACAGAGCTGTTCCTTAACAGTGATATGACCCGGGTAACACCATCTGCCGTTTACTAGAATGGCAAGTCCCCCTCCTTTCCGCTTGCCACTCTTAGGATCCCGGTCAGCCCGGATGGTGTGGAAGCCATCCAGGGAGACAGTCTGGTCCATTATGTCTCTGTGCAGCCACGTCTCCGTGAAGCACATTAAACTGCACTCTCGGTACTCTGGGTGGCCCCGCGTCAGAGCCGTTAGCTTGTCCATCTTGTTGCCCATAATAACAGAGGGGAGACAGTGCTTAAATCTTCTCCTCTCAATAAGCCCTTGCTGTCTCGACCCTCCTTTCATCCCCCGATAATTTTTTCCTCCTCTGCAACCTCGGCGTGTTTTCCTCCGTAGTTCGGGTGGTATCTCAGCTGGTCTCAGCTGGTCTGGTCACTACGCCGGCCGGCTTCAGTGCGATCAGGTAAACAGTCAGCAGTAGGTCGGGGTTGAGGTTCCTTAGCATCCTGAGCACTCTCAGGAAGTGTAGCCACTGCGGAGCTTTCTGGGTGATGGATTTGATGATCATTGACCAGAAGTTGTTGTCGGCGATGACGCAAACTTAACGATTAGGTTTAGGTTAAGTACGTCAGCGAACTTAACTATAATGTTGTCCTTGTGGGCTGGTCTGCAGTCGTGGGTGTAGAGGCAGTAGAGGAGAGGGCTCAGCACACAGCCCTGTGGGGAGTCGATGGAGGTGTGTGGAGCAGTGTGCAGGTGGAAGAGAGGTGGGGGACAAGTCTCACATTCTGGGGTTGGTTGGGAAGAAAGTCCTTGATCCAGGCGCATGTGAGAGGGGGAAGGCCGAGAGTGTTCAGTTTTTTTGGTGAGTCTGTTCGGGATTAATGTGTTAAAGGCAGAGCTATAATCCACAAAGAGCATCCGGACATAGCTCTGCTACTGTTCCAGGTGGTCCTGTGCAGAGTGGAGAGCTATGGTGATGATGTCCTCTGTGGACCTGTTTGCCCTGTAAGCAAACTGGTGGGGATCGAGATGTGGGGGGAGATAGTCTTTGATATGCTGAAGGCCCAGTCTCGCGAAGCACTTCATGATTACCGGAGTGAACTTATTAGTGTTAAATATCTCTCATCTGACAAAGCTAGAAATAATGCATACAGGAGGTTCCCACTACCCCAATGACAGAAATTCCTAAGGAACTTGAAATATTTTCAGTGAAGGCTATACAGAATTTACATTTGCTACATGAAATGCGTAGAATAGTAGGCTACATATAGAGTAGATTAATGCATTTTTAAAAAATCGACAAGAACTCACTTGAGTTATTGTACTTCATTAACATTGTAGATTTTACTTAGCTGATGAAACTTGTTTGATTTGAATGTAAACTACAGCACAAAGTCGACAGTCAGTGTTTTCAGTCTATTTTTTCAGTGTATTTATGTTGGCCAGTCTTATTGGTCTACAAAGCAGAAAACCTTGCGGAAATATGCATCCCCTACTAGTCATGCTCCTAAGGTAGTCAGAGCTGTAGGAATTGTTCCCAGAAAATGCCTCCAGCCGTCTTTTGGGCTTGGGCTACTACAGTATTAGTGTTCGTCACTGGCCCCCCTACCCACTGAATTTGATGACAGTCTGAATTATTTCATGACAGAAGCGTTCACATACGAAGCATGACATAGATAAATACACACTGAAATTATTTATTCAATTGCATATTTCATAAATTCATGATGCATTTAAGTATTTATGGATGTATTTATGATTCCATAATATGTGTAATTATTTACTTGTAGATCAAATTATCAAATTATGTTTTTAATAATTTAATTATACATTTCATTAATTAATAGGATATTTACAGGTATGTATTTCATTATGTATTTACTTACTTCATAAAACAGTTATCTATTTAATTTAGTCACTCCTAACTCGCCACAGCTAAAATGGAGGGAGCTAAAGTTTGAATCCCTCTTGGAGAAATCTACAGTCATGGCCAAAAGTTTTGAGAATGATTCAAATGTTAAAATGTACAAAGTCTACTGCTTCAGTTTTTATAACTGCAATTTGTATATACTCCAGAATGTTAAAAAGAGTGTTCAGCATAACAGTAATTAATTGCAAAGTCTATATTTGCCTAGAAAATTAACTTTATCCCCCAAAACACATTTCCACGCATTGTTGCCAAAATGGCTCCAGGGCGCCCAAGAATGACCAGCAAGCGCCAGGACCGTCTCTTAAAAGTGTTTCAGCTGCGGGATCGGGCTGCTAGCAGTTCAGAGCTAGCTCAGGAATGGCAGCAGGCAGGTGTGAGTGCATCTGCACGCACTGTGAGGCCGAGACTCTTGGAGCAAGGCCTGGTCTCAAGGAGGGCAGCAAAGAAGCCACTTCTCTCCAGGAAAAACATCAGGGGCAGACTGATATTCTGCAAAAGGTACAGGGGGCGGACTGCTGAGGACTGGGGTAACGTCATTTTCTCTGATGAATCCCCTTTCCAGTTGTTTGGGACATCTGGAAAACGGCTTGTTCGGAGAAGACGATGTGAGCGCTACCACCAGTCTTGTCTCATGCCAACTGTAAAGCATCCTGAAACCATTCATGTGTGGGGTTGCCTCTCAGCCAAGGGAGTCATGTGAAAATATAATATAACTCTCTCACAGTTTTACCTAAAAACACAGCCATGAATTAAGAATGGTACCAGAATGTCCTCCGAGACCAACTTCTCCCAACCCTCCAAGAGCAGTTTGGTGATGAACAAGGCCTTTTCCAGCATGATGGAGCAGCTTGCCATAAAGCAAAGGTGATATCTAACTGGCTTAAGGAACAAAACATAGAGATTTTTGGTCCATCGCCTGGAAACTCCCCATATCTTAATCCCATTGAAAACTTATGGTAAATCATCAAGAGATGGGTGGAAAAACGAAAACCTAGGAATTCTGACAAAATTCAAGCATTGATTGTATTTCTGTATGTGATGACAACATCTGACATACACACATGAAAACCAGAGGGCAGCAGATCATGTGAAAATATAATATTAGTGTCATTCTCAATACTTTTGGCCATGACTGTACTTCTTCAACCAATGAGAGCATGCGTAAAGGTTACATTCTGGAAGGAAGACATTCAGTACTGAAAAGACGACGCTTGTCAAAAGTTAAGACAAAAGTTAGCCGTTAATTTGCAAGTAAAGAAATAATGTAAAAATATTTACTGTTGCCACTGTACACGTGCCATTCTGAAATCTAAGTGACATCACTTCCTAGAAAGGTTTTTTTTTTTTTTGGAGGCCCTTGATGTTATCTTACCGACAAAGACATTGTTTCTTTAATGGAATATTAATGTTACAATACAAGTTTTGTGGCTTCTTATGCAATGTTACAATGCACGATGTGTTTTGGAGTTAGTCTGGAAAAAGAGCCCCTTTGCTAATCGTTTATGCAATTGTAACTAGAAAAAGGCTGTTCCTGCAGAAGCTATGAGAATGCCAAGTGCTGAATGGAGGAAGAAGAGGCCAAAGAAAAAGACATAGAACTGAAGAGTTGAAAAAGAATGGCAAAAAGATTAGAAGAACAGAAGAGTGTAATGGGATTTGAACCAGCAACTTCTCAAACTGGAGTCAAACACTATACCATTGAGCTATACTCCAGTCAGAAAGGCTTGACCACATAACAAGAATTTGAAGGGGCTGAAATGCCAGTGACCAGCAGATGGAGGCATGCTTTTGACTCCATTCATTTTAATGAGAGAAAATAAAAGCAGAAAAAGTTAAGATTTGAAAACCAAAAATCATAGCTGCATAGAGCTGATGGAGCTGACGATTTTGATACCTTATTTGTTGAAATAGGCTGAATGCTGTGGGTGTAGTTAGACGCAGACGAAGTGAAACAGGGATGCCAGTAGGCATTCTCACAATAAGGCTTATGCCTTTTCCTTGGTTACATTGGTAATTGTTGGGATAAATGTTATCAGAGATCATTTCTTACATTTTAAGATATATGTATATAATTTGTGCATGTTATTTTTTCCTTTGTGTTGCTGACTTGATTTACAAAGAACCTCATCAAATGGCAGAGAACATTTCAGCCCGATAGGACAAGACATTACTCTAAGCTATACTGGAAGTCTTAGGATACAGGCTGAAAAACTGTCTGACGTATGGAGGTTTTATTCAAATCTGTGCTGCTGGCCACTTTAGCAGACACACAACTCATCCTGAGTTGGAATAAGTAGATATATAAATAATGGAATTAAGCTAATGGAAAATCGTAGATGTTTTAGAGCTAGTGCTTAGTGGCCATGAGTTTTAAAAAAAAATTCTCTCAGGTCCAGATTGTTATTCATACTTGCTATTTGGTTACCGTTAACCATGTTCTGAGTTTTAAAAAAATTGGCATGATTATTGGTATATATTAACATAATCTGTGAGTATGATTACATATATTTTTAAGGCAGGGCAATTGTATTTGTATAGTAGATTTTGTGTACAGGACAATTCTGAGTGCTTTACAAAGAGTTCAAATGCAGAAAATAAAGATAAATTAAATCAATCAATGATTAAATAAAACAATCATTGATTAAATAGACAGAAAGTGGACTGTGCAGATAAAATACATTAAATTGTCAAAAGAACAGTTAAGTAAAACTGTTTTCAGCCTGGATTTAAATATTCTCAGAGTTGGGCTGTGACAAATCTCTTTGTGGCAGGAAATTTAGAATGTTCCTGTCTCGCTCCTTAAACCCTGTTGAAGTTAGAGCGTGTAAAATTAGTCTTTCAGACGGGGGGAGTTTGAAAAGGTTTTTAGGCTACAAGAATAATCCCTGAAGTCATCTCATTGGCTAAGTTTTATTTTCCTAGTTATCTTAACAGACACTTACCACTGTATTTAAATTTAAATTTCAGCTCCTGTAATAAACCCCTCTAAGACAGACTTTCTGTCGGCAAACATTCCCTGCCTTGAAGCCCGTAAAGTCCTTTTTATTCTCCTGGTTATCTTATTTAAATTTCACCTCCAAGCGCTAACCCTCCTTCCCTTATCCAACCCCCCAAAAAACAAATTAGAGCCATCCACAGACATGTCCAGACATGAGAGCCTATTTTCCTACCTGCTATCTTAATAGCCATATTTCAAATACAACGTTTTTGATCTAAACAGACCTAGCGAAGCCAGACTTCCGTTTTTTCTTTCTTTTCTGCAGGGAGAGGCTTAATGGTTGACGCTTGCTAGAGTAACTCAGCAGTAGGGTTAAAACTTTGAGGTAAAAAAGAAAATCTTTAACAAATCCTGCAAAGCGTTGCCTGGGGGCATTCTTTCTTTTATTTTTGAATTGGGAAAGTTTATTATTTATAATTGAATAAGGTAGAATGTGTTTTATAAACATTTTGCGGAGGCAGTTACATGACCGGGCAGTAACCTCCTCTCATTTGATGGGATTTCCTGACACACACACACGCACACTACGCAT